TCTCTCTTTACGTCACTTATGTGGATGAGCTGTTTTGCATCACTGTTATGTGAATGTGGATGATTTGTCAGTTCTCCTGTGTCTTGTGCTTCTTGCAGCTGAAGGATAATGCTGGCCCGAATATGAAAAACTAAACATTAAAAAGTTATATATATATATATATATATATATATATATATATATATATATATATATATATAATATATATATATATATATATATATATATATATATATAATCTTTTAGGCATATTGAATATGACTGAAAGGGTTAGATTAATGATTCTAGCACGAATTTTGTATGTAATTTTGTTCTTCATTGGGAAGTAAATTGTAAAGCTAATGTTCATTTTACAATGTTATTACACCTGATGTTCACCACAACCTCTTCGGAGCCAGAAGGAAACGAGACATAAATTGTCAGAGATGACAGTATATATATATATACATATATATATATATATATATATATATATATATATATATATATATATAATATATATATATATATATATATATATATTATTTCCAAATACGATAACCATAGACAAAACAAATATCTTGCTAAAATTCTTCTTTACTGTTAAATAAAATTCATGACGTTCGAATACTTCTTGTATTCATCATCCGATCTAAAAAAAAAATACAAAAGTTACAATAAAATAAGCAGCAATATACAGGACTCATACTGTACAAAAAAAGTATTAAAAGATAATATATAAAATTTCATAGTACAGTTGTAAATGAACTTTGGTGAGTTAATTTTTCAACTTTCTTTCCCAAATGAAAAATTATGTAGAGGAAATTCATGCTAGAATCATAAATGTCTACATGTGTAATTGTGTATGTACACACACACACACACACACACACATACACACACACACACACACACACACACAACATATACATATATATATATATATAAATATATATATATATATATATATATATATAATATATATATATATATATATATATATATATATATATATATATATATATAGAGCCAGGTTATCAATATTTTAACACAATACTATTTAATATTATGTTAAATGAAACATAAGAACTACAGCAGTAATATAGAAAAGTATCTAGTAATGATCTAATTTCAACTGTAAACAAAATCTATAAAAAAGAATACATTAATAAGTTCCAAAATTCTATTTAAACCAAATTTTAACATTATTGTTTATGCCTAAATTATCACGGCCATTTGCAGTTTGGCTTGTGTGTGTCTTTGATCGCGTCATGAGACAACCCGTATGACCTCTGCCACTGTTGCTATGGATTAGAGTATAGGACCCTTGTAGTTAAACGGTACGCTCCCTGTAGTGACGGTACACCAGCTTGTGTAGGGGGTACGGCATGGTGTGTGTGTGAGTGTATCTGGGCCGTGCGGATGGGATTGCGTGGTCGTGCCTGCACGCGCGCACACATACACGTGCCTTTACGGTGCGTGTGCTTGCGTGTGCGTATGTGGACAAATGTGTGTGTAGAATGCATGCGTGCACATTCTTTGGCCAGCTTATTAAGTTAGTGAAATAAGGGGTTCGTTTCCCTTAGACTCGTGAGTGAGAATTAAAATGCTTGTAAAGATACTTAATTATATGATTTTGTAATGTGGACTTGGGTTCAGTAATCTTATTGCTACTTCGCAATCACAATGATTTAGTTTTAAGTCGGAATTTAATAGACATTAGATAGCTTCCCAATAATTAAACTGTATGTGGTTACTGTTATTTTCCTGTAGATTACTTTTTTTTGTTTGTGTATGTAAGCAGAAAATCTATAATTTTTTTCCTCCAAGATTATATTGTATTTATTATGATATTCTGTAGTTTTTCAATCCCATGAAATATATTGTACGATTAAAAGTTGAAGAGTAATTACAGCATGTGACTAATTAGCTGCACGTCAATTCAGTAAATATAATTTTCTAACACCATCCCTTGACACAGTATAATACTCAAGAATGCATTAAATTGTTAACTTTGCAGATAGGTAATCATTTACTACAAGAGCGCTTAGTATAACAGTATCAATAGGGCTTTGAATTGATTAGGTTAGGTATGCCAGGTATATTTCCTAGATTACTAAATATGCAGTTACTTTTAATCTCGTTTACAAGTATCGGCATAATTTTGTATTCATAAAATATTTATTTGTTCAATCCATCAAAATCCAGCATGTTCACCTTTTCGGATGAGGTAACTTTGTTAATTAACCCTACGAGGATGTATTATGTTAACTATTGTATTAGATTTCATGAACTTTCCTAATTTAACTCGGTAAGTTAATTTACCTTGCAAGGCGAACCTGAATTAGCCTTTGTATTAGACTATTTGTATTATGCATTTGATTTATTTGATGCCTGAATGTACTCGAAAGATATAATAGATTAGTTTGCCATGCAAGGTTTTCTATGTTAACTACTTTAGTTGGATACTCTTCTAAATGACTTGGCAAGGTCAATACTAGGATATCAGTTCATTGTGATT